CGTTCCTTCAATGAGAACTGACCATTTCAAATAAAACAAAAACAAAACTGTGCTGCCTCTTACTGAATGATAGGACAAACTCATCTTGTTTGTATACAATTATAAAGATGGTTCTTTAATACATTATGGATCAGTGATGTCATTATAACAATCTGGTCCTTAAACAGTATCTACCTATTTATAGGGAGAAATATAGAAAGATATAAATGTGTCATAAAAAACAGGTCTGTTTCTCGAGCAGCACGTTGTGGGGAGAATAAAACCTGAGAAATTGTGACTTGAATAGGAAAGTTGGAGACAGTATTTTATCTTTGCTATTTTACACTTAATTTTCCAATATTTGACATATATTTTCTCCCAGTGTGATGTCATCCTGGAGAATATTGGGGGTGCATTAAAGGCCATAGGCGAATGTGAAGTTCTTGTGGCAATGCACTCTGCCATAGTTACACTATGTTAGGGTGTAATAGCCAGAAAGCACAGTACAATCTCTCATACCCAGAGAGCTTGGAGACATGGCTTGAAGCTGTGCTTCCAAGCCTTCTAATTACTAAAATATTTAGATAATGGGCCACTAGGGAGAGGGGAACAACAGCAATCTAAATGAAGTTGTTATAGTGAGTACAGTGTTCCTTTAAACATGACCTATAACTGGGCAGAGAGTTTACATCTTGAATCATTTATTTCCATGTCAAGTGATGAGAATGAATGTAACATTAAAAAGAAATATCGGGGCTGAGTATATCCAGCAAGAACTAGGACAAAAACAAAAAAATCTCTTTTAAAGTGAAAATTGCTCAACTGGATGAAGAAAGCACGTATAAAAAATGAGTCACTGTTGTACTTGAAGCTGCAATTGTACTTTGATTCTGGAATCACTGTATTCTGAGCTTTGTTCTTAGCAGTTTGTCTCGTTTCTTTTGTCATTGTCCCATGAATATAAAAGACCCAACAGCTTAGTCAAAGGTGATGGCAGATAAGTACGATATACCCAAATACTTCAAGTGGATAATTTTATCTTAGTGGCAGCTAATTGTTTATTTGAAGATAAACACCCTGGCCCCGCACTTGACCTCCACTTACAGTAAAGCATCATTTTGTTGTTTTTCTGCTATCCACTTGATTTGCTTCATGCTGTTAGAAACGTGATGTTTTTAATGAATCATCTTTTTTTCAAATAGTTATTATTGAGAATTTTTCTAAATATTATATAAATAACAGTAACAATGGGGGTTATCCATCCATAAGTACTTAACAATATGAATCATCTTCTCACTAAAGTTAGGAATGTTTGATTATTTTGAATAGTGAGTATAAAACTTTAAAGGATCACTATAGTGTCAGGAAAACAAAGCGGTTTTTCTGACACTATAGTGCCCTGAGGGTGCCCCCTCAGGGTCCCCTTCCCATTGCGCTTAAGGGGTTAAAACCCCTTCAGCAGCTTACCTTAATCTGGTGACCTCTCCTCCCCCGCCGACGTCAGTTCCCCTGTCCGACGTCAGCGGAGCCGAATGTGCATGCGCTGCAATGCTTTCCTATGGACACTCTGCGTGATGGAGGCGAAATGTGCCTCCAGCATCGCAGATGCGCCTCTAGAGGCTAGAGGCTGGATTAACCCCAAATGTAAACATAGCAGTTTCTCTGAAACTGCTATGTTTGCATCTGAAGGGTTAAAACCTGAGAGACCTGGCACCCAGACCGCTTCATTGAGCTGAAGTGGTCTGGGTGACTATAGTGTCCCTTTAATATATTTCTATACATCTATCCATCCATCTATTTGACTACCTACCCAACTACCTACCAGACTATCTATCTATAACATATATAAAAAAAATACCCCATACCACATAAGGCAAAACAAGTGGCCACCCTTAAAAAAAGAAGAAACAAAAAATGTGTTTCTATGCATGTATCGGTCATTTCTGAATGATACTCACTTTGGACACATGACATGTGTGACATGTCATGAATCCCTTTTATTCCAGAAGTTTGGTCCTTTGAAACTGAAACATTATTTGTTGCTGTAAGAACCCCAGCATAAATAGATGCAGAGCCCCGCATAATGTTCCATACTAAAAATTTACTAAAATAGAGGCTGTTACAATTTCAATTAGAATTTAGGTATCACAATCACACATCTTGAATAGCTTCAAGGTTAGCCCAAATTGGAGTATTTTCAAACAGAATTAAAAAGCCACTTGAATTTCCACATTAGAATTTCCAACAAGTGCATCATGAAAATATTTCAAAGCAAAATTGCTCCAAAATGTATCCTGATGTATCCCATATGCAGTAGTAAATATATGATATTCTACTAAAAAAATTTTTTTATTCTGGTGGAATATTATCATATGTATGAAAAGAAGTTTGGTATTTATAGAGTTTGGGGTGGATTTATTCTCTATTCAGTATTCATTTAGGGGGGTTATTATTTAAGGGTCTGTTACGGATTGTCAATTTAATTGGTCAAAAGAATTAAGTAGAAGATTCTGATCTAGTAGACATCAACAGGTTTTTCTGTATACCTTGCCTAGGGGATTGAAGAAGTCACAGAGCTATGTAACTAGCATGTAATGCTTTGTACATTTTTTTTTTCCAATTGACAATTTTTTATTTTGTCTTTGAGCAAAAAGAAACATGGGGATACAAAACGAGGAAAGAGGGGGGGGGGAATTATACATTGCATAATGGCTACACAGACAATAGCTATGTGTAGTTATATACATATCAGTGTACAACATAGTTAGACATCCACATACAAACATGCTTCCCTGAGTTGTGTGTTTTCTGGAGCTTCATTGCTTATTTACCGTAAACCCCTTTTTTTTTTTTTTTTTTTTATATATATTTGGTGTGGTAGTATTTGTTGGCGCTCTGCGTGGCGCCTCTCGATTTTGTTTCAGGAGTCGGTAGGCTCACTAGGGTGGACGTGGTTAGGGGGGGTGGTGTCTTAGTTCGTGATTTGTTGAACCCACAGGTCGTGTGCTTCCTGTACCTCTTTTCGTGTTCCAAATTGTGCGTGTGCCATTTTTTCGTATTCCCAATTTTGGTTTACCTGTTTTATAAGGTCCTCTATGGGTGGAGTGAGAGCTTTTTTCCAATGTCGGGATATCACTAGGTTGGCTGATATTAATGTGTGATATAATATCAGTTTGTTATGTTTCGGTAATTTTTCTGGCAAGATGAACAAGAGACACATCTGAGGTGTGTCTACTCTTGGGGCTGGCGATATCTTCTGTAGTATGTTCGCTACCTCTACCCAAAATGGTCTGAGCATGGTGCATGTCCACCAAGTGTGTATCATCGTGCCCACGTCCTTCCCACACCTCCAGCACATATTGCTGGTCGAGGGCCATATTCTGTGCAATTTATCCGGTACCAAGTACCAGCGGTATAAAATTTTTCGCTGCAATTCTAGATGTGTGGCACATGCTGTAAGCCCCCTATGAGCCGTGTATGCCCTCTCCCAGTCCCTGTCTGTTATTGTAACGTTGATATCTCGTTGCCAGGATGATTTGACCTCACCTAATGTGTGTGATTGTTGCGTTATTAAGCTCTGGTATCCCCAGGACATTATTTTCTTGAGTGGTGTTGTTCCCGTGCTTTGTTTTTCGAATTCCGTCATATGTGTCGGTGCTGTGGGCTCTGTTCGTCTCCCTAGCTTATCTAGTACGTAAGATTTGAGCTGAAGGTAGGAGAATAATGCTTTGTAGGGGAGGTTATATTTTTCCTGTATGTCGGGGAACGGTATCAGTCGCCCCCTGTCTATCACTTGGTACATGTGACGTATCCCGCCTTTCACCCATATTTCCCAAGGGAATGTAGGAATCTCCAGTCCTATGGAGCGCAATGGCATAGCTAACGGTATTATCGGTTGCGTCACTAAGTCTGGTTTCATTGTGTGCCACATTCGCAGTAAGGTTTGGGTAGGTGGTAGGAGATCGTTTATTTCCTGGTTGTTTTTCGTCTGTTTCCACATGAGTGACCTAAGATCACCTTGTGGTGCTTTGCTGGCTTCGATCGTCACCCACTGCGGGGCGCCGGTAGGCCTGTTAATCTGTGCAATGTTGTGTAGGTATGCTGCTCTGTAGTACGTCGCCAGGTTAGGAAGGCCTAATCCCCCTTTTTTGACAGATCGATA